AAGAAGAAGAAGAAGAAGAAGAAGAAGAAGAAGAAGAAGAAGAAGAAGAAGAAGAAGAAGAAGAAGAAGAAGAAGAACTTCTCCAAATGATCATGCTCTATGAGGGTTAGAAGAGCTACTTGGAGCAAATAAGTACACGATACTCAATGATGCCATTAAAGTGCTAAGGGAAGAAGCCATTACCTGGAACTAAAGAAAACTAAGAAGGTGGAGAGAAGGGGAGGGGAGGGGGAATTGACCACAGAAGGAGGATCAACTAAGATCTTATTCTGCAGAAGAAGATTCCAGACAAAATGGTCAGGGAGCTGGAAGGGATTGTGGGCGGCCCAGGAAGTAAGATGTCCTCCTGTTGGACGTGACCTGCTGTTTTGGGGCAGCACCTGTGGTGACCTGGAGGCTCTTATGGAAATATGGCTTATTGGTGCTCCTTGTGGAGGGAGGCAGAAGGCATGGAACCTCACTTTCTCCAGGAGAGTGTGGCAGAGGAAAAGCTCTGGAGACTCCAAACTCAGCCTTTAGTGGCTCTGTAGTCTCCATTGGCTCTTGAGAGAGCCAACCACCATGGGAAGAAGCCGAGGCTAGATTACTGAGTTGTAAAAAAGCCATTTGAAAAGAGGAACAACCCACCCCCAAGTCCTCGGTTCTCCATCTAGGGACACTGTGCATGGGACTCCAGCAATGGGGACATCCTGCCTTGGCAGAGCCTCCAGAAGAATGTGGCAGTTTGAAGATTCCCAGCTAAGACAACCTGCTAAGCCTGGGAGCCCTGACCCATGCTGGCCGCCTGCTGCTTAAACACCTCCTGCATGCACAGCGGCTTGTTACACAGCTCTGACTAACAGGTTCACAGAAGGCGTTCCTGTCATTTTAACAGCGTCCTAACTGATTTGTTGATACGGGTTAAATATGCTGACATCTGTTGATAATGGAAAATCCACTCACTTGGTTTTAAACTTACTGCATTGGCTCTTAGGTCTGTAAGTTTCTGGTTAGAACAGGTCAATGGATCTGTGGTATTCCCTGCTCAACTCATTTTCTCTTGCTTCCATCCCCAGTCAGAGTACATTCCTCTCACTCATCGGCGGTTTTTAAACATAAAGAAAAGAAAACCAGCCCGCAAATCCCAGTCCCAGAGAATTCTGACAACAACGAGCACACTAAGAAAGACTTGCATAGATCTAATCTACATGGGAAGTAGAAAAAGACAAGATATCCTGGGTAAATTTGGGAGCATGGGGATCTTGGGGGGAAGGGCTGAAGGGGGGAGGGGGGAGGCAGGGAGGGTAGCAGAGGAAACATGTAGAGCTCAATAAAAATCAATGAAAAAAATAATTAAAAAAAGAGTTCATTCTTCAGGCTACCACCCAATCCTCTCATGTCTGCAAGGAGGCCACAAAGCATTAGGCACCGCCCCCAGACAACAGCCTCCCTTCTCAAAAGGGGACCACGCTTTCTTAAGACTGAGGCAATCTTCACGAAACATCCTCCCAGCAAGTTCCTCTCCATGTTCGTTAGCGTTCTCATTTTGAACAAGCCAGCCCCTTGATAGGATGGTGTTAGCGGAAGGGGGGGGACAGAGAGCACCCTGAGCCCCACAAAGGGTGAAAGCTTGAAGGACAAGGATAAAGCCAACTAGGGACTTGTTTTTCTCAGTATGGAGAATAAGCTGGGCATGAGGGCTCATTCCTGCACTCCCAACACTTTAGAGGCTAAGTTCAAGGCCAGCCTGGGATAAAGATTCTGACTCAAATATCCAAATGAGAAAAAGATAAACAGGGAAAGAAAAGGAGCACATGCCTCTGAGCAGAACAGACATTCTCTAAAGATAGGAAGCCTTCGTCCCTAGACAGGTCTGTGTCAGGCTAATCCATTCCAATTGTAACTTGCCACCAGAAAGCTAGTTTGTCCGAACAGTATGGGGGTCATGGTAGAAATTAGATGGCATCACCAGGGACATATGACCATGCAGTCGTGCCCACAGGACCACCAGGTGCAGGGACCACTCGCTAGTCCCCAGTCACAGCGGCCTGCTGTTTTCAAGAGTCCACACCAGGCTAGGAGTACCAGTGACAGCTCCCTTCTAACACCAGCAGGCTCATGGCAAATCCAGGAAGGAGGGAGAGAAACACCTCTCCTAGACTGGTTCAGTGTCTGCAGCTGGTGCTATGTGGTGGAACCTAGGTGAAGGGCGAAGCAGAGGGCCACGGTGAGATTAGGGAGAAAGTGGGAAACAGCGAGCTAGTGGCTTCCTGTCACTGGTCTGTCTGTTGTCATCCGTGTCTAATCCAAACTAGGAGTACCAGATCTCCCCTATACCCTGACAGACGGGTCTTAAATGTGGTTCTAATGTCCAGGTTTGGTGCTCCTGATTGGCCACGAAAGAGCCTTAGTCCCCATCGGGTTCTGAAGCAAAAGCAAGGAAGGGATTTGGAACCAGTAAACATCAGCTAAGTTAGGGGGACCCGGAGGTAAGGAAAATTGTGCAGGCAGTGTGTGTGTGCTGCTTCACATTTGGAACTGGGGGTTCTAGCGGTGGTGATTTAGTTGAAAGCTAGTAGCAGGAAGGCACCTGACAGGGTGCTGGACCACCAGGCAAAACCCAGAGGCCTGGGTTTGGATGGAGGACCTGAGATGGGCCCCAGCAGCAGGTAGAAAGTAGTACTAAGAGCTGGATCAGGACGTGTTTGGTTGGGTCTCCAAGGGAGCAAGTCCTAAAAGGGGTGGTGGTGGCTACACCGTGCAGCCACCTGAGGATTCCATGCCTCTGTCCACAGCAAGGCGGGAGGCGTGACCCACAGGCTCAGGGACTCAGGCCCCACCGCACCCGCCATCGGCCTTGGTCTCACAGCTAGGCGTCCTTTCTAGAACAGGAGTGAGCAAGAGAGGTGGGAAACCGGCACCCGACGAGCCACCCGGGGGAGGTGACAGCGCCCTCCCGCCGAGCAGGGAGGCGGA